CGCCCCGGGGTAGCGCGCGCGCGGCGGCGAGTCCCGGCCGGAGCAGCGATGGGGCTCCTTCGGCTGCTAGTCCTGGCGGTGCTGGCGTCGGAGCCACGGGCGGCCGGCGGAGCCGAGACCGTGGGCAACTCGAGCGAGGGTAAGGTCCAGGGCGCAGCGCTTGTGCAACCCAAAGTTGGTTTTCCATTTCTTGCGAGGTCAAAATCCATCCCGGGGTCTGTCCACCTGGCAGGGGAGGCGGTGAGTTCAGAGCCAGCTGGAATGAATCGGGGTCTTTTCCTGCAGAAGGAAAATCCCTTTGCTAAGGAGGCCTTACTGTCAACCTCCTAATTTACTAATTTAGGCTGGGGAAATGGGAGAAGATGGGCAACTCTCTTGTTCGGACACATTATTCTCTCCCTTAGGGCGCAGCCATGTTTGTAGGTTTAATTTAACACTCTCCAACACCTCTTTGCTTCCAAGTGGCTAATCTGAGCCTCTGGACAGCGAAGCTTGGTGCAGAACTGAGGGTTTGATGGTGGATGACCCGCCAAGCTGCAGCGGGTTTTTTACACTCCAAAATCTAGATCCTTTTCAAATTGGTTATGCTCTACGAAGTTTCAGAGGAAAAGTGAACCCAGAACAGGACTTTAGATCGTAGGTCATGTGCTTGGTGAATGAGTTTTAGCAATAGTTGGTGGTTTGTTAATATAAACTGTAAAAAGCGCTAATTGTACCAAGCTGATAATCATGTGCTGTTCTGTGAGGTTAAGCACATTCTTGGTTTTATTTTGAGCTTAAGAGACTCGTTGTAGTTCTGAAACATATTTTCTGAATAATGTGATTGTGTTTCTAAATGTTTATCTTTGAAAAGCCCTTGTGCACACTGAATCCTAGAATTTTTGCCTAGGACTTAAGGCCAAAGCTGAAAAGGGCAGTTACATTTTTGCAGAAAAAAATAGCCTTGTTTGTCATAGGGCACTGACATTCACCGCGTGCAGCATGTACCAGGTGCTTTTCATGGCAGTGTTATTTAATCCTCACAGCTCTATAAGATAATTATTGTCCTCCCCAGCAGAGGATGAAGCTGAGGCCCAAGAGGATGCTTGTTACACAATAAGCAGCTAATAGGGGCACAAGCGGCAATTAAACCCAAGTGTGTCTTGCTGTAAATTTCATGACCCTGCG